GTAAAAATCATTTAACGAAGAACTTAGTCTTGTATTTCATCATTGGACACATAGTTTATAGGATCACAGGCAATAGGATCATAACAATACACTAAACACTTAGAACAAACCAACAAGAGTGGATAGGATTAGTGAATTTGAGTGCCCCAGTGAAAGTTGGTAGTAGCACAATGTAAAGTGGGAATTGATTCTAGGATACGAAACAGCCAATGATGTAAAATTATTTATTATCTAAAATTTATTATTCCCAGAAGCTGAAGACTAAATTTTATAACTGAATAACAAATGATTAGCAGTCTGGCATATAATAATTACATCCTGGATAGTTGTGTATAGATGGAATTTTGCAGTAAAGTATAATCTGCCGCTTACACACCAGATTATACTTTGCTTCAAAATTCTGTTATAGTCAACTACTCAGGACATAACTAATTTACCTCTGCTATCTACGTAACATAACTTTAATATACTTATTTTAAAATGAAACCATTATTTTATTCACTGTTTTTGACGTTTAAGATTAAATAGAATAGTACAGTATTTATACTCAATCATCTAAATTGAATAAATATATGTTTAGTAGAATAAGTGCATGAAAAAATTACATTGATAGGTTAAAATAATCGTGCTACCTAGCAGTTAAAGAAAATTGTGCTCAACAAATGACTAGAGCAATTTGGTATGTGTTATTGTCACGTAGTTACCCAAACTACCATGTATTCGTTAAACTTTACTATCAGTCTTTAACTCGCTTGGCTAATATACGATGACTGGAGTATCGTGCCAGATACTACCACCACAATGTTTTCACACAGATAACAGTTTATTCACTAAGAATAACTCAAAGAGATAACGAGAACAAAAGCTAAGCATTCCCTATTTGGATCGATGCTTTATATTTATTACTAATCGCTAATGATTACTACATTGTTCATGCAATCACTATTTTAGACTTTTAACTAAATTGTGATCATTCGATTAATTAGATCACGACATTCAATCAACATGTACCCGATCACTAGTCACATGAGTACCGCGTAGCACTGCGACAGTTATCATATCATATCTAAATTTCTCAAACGATATATATTTAATGTGGTTTAACATCAAAATTTCTCACTAGACGATAATATTCGAGCATATAGCATTTACTATACATCATTACGTTTTATTTCTAAGTTTTATTTTATTTAATTGGTTTATTAAGTATTAAAATCTTTTATAAATAACTTTAAAATAGTCCGAATTTACACATTATACGGCGTCACGCGCTGCGCAGCTACCCTAATTATTTAATTCTTTTCTCTTATATAGTTATTTGAATTAATAATAAACTACACCTTCCTTTATCATATTTAACATTCAAGTCTAACCATTATCAATTTCTTCCGTTCCTGGTTTCGCGCGATGACGTCGCACAGCTATCGAGTTAAGTAATTGATAATGATTGAGTGGCGCATGTAAATCGCGTAAGTATTGAACTATCGCGTACACCTATTACACAAATCCCTGCTCCCCACAGCGTGAAACATAAAATCTATAGCGTAGTCGCTAAATTTTCCAACCCACGTTAAATTAACCATACTATCGCTAAGTTTTTGAGAAAACGGTTTATAAAATTAAAATATATCACTAGACTCTAATATGTTAGATCGCTAAAAATCTAGTATTCGAGATTTGAATAATAAATATATATATTATTCATGCTTATCTTTTTTTTGTTTTATCAACATTATTTTATCAATAAAGATTTTTGACCCATTTTTTACAATAGTTGCAAATCAAAGATTATCATTAAATTTATTGGATATGTGTTAGAGCGTAATAATTGTTAGCATGGATTTAATAAAAAATAACACCTGAACGAAAATAGTTAAAAAAAATTATTAATATACAGTAGATTTTTTTAAGTATATCGTTAGAGCTTTTAGAAAATGTACCATCGAATAATATTTCTCATTACAAAACAAAGACTAATCATCTCAAGGTACTACAGAATTGATCGGTGAACTTTCAATAGTTCTTTATTGAAGTTCTTACTTCAATCTTTGCATCATTGTTCAAAATATTAATGCTAAATATCAAATTTCGATTTTACAGGAGTTTGAATAGCAACAATTAGAACCAGATAATTTTGAATTATAAACACATAAATCACATGCCCGGGTTTTTTGTGATTACGTCACGGTGTTGGGGAGGGTAGATTTGCCCGCGAAATACAATAAAATTTTCGGTATTTTTCGAGTCTCGAAATTTCTTACATTTAACGTGGCAAAACCTTATAATGATTGTTTTTAAAAGTTTACTGTTAAGAAATGTGCTATTTTTAACATACATAAATGTGTCTCATAATATAATGTATAGTAAAAATTTTGTCCACTAAGTAATGTATCTTTGGTTTTACAAAATAAGGGTTATCGCTTACTTGAGCAAGGAAAGTGCTTACAACGAGATGTGATATTTTCGAAAAAACGATTTACCAATTAAAACAAAATTAGCCTATAGATTTTATAGATATATCAATTCATTAGTCAAATTGTGGAAGCTCAGAGAATCAAGCTTCTTAATACTTCTGTCACGAAACTTGATTAGATCGAACTGTCGTAATGTCATGTGTTATTTGATTTAAGCTGCTTGAAATTATAATTCCGGACCTGTTCTAGTTTGCATGAATATTATAAATATATTCATCAGACTTTCGAAGCATTAATATCTTGCAGGTAGTAATAATTCTATGCAATTTTATATCTTAGATTTGCAAAATTTAACTTGGATTAAATAAATTTAGAAAGAATTGCAAAACAAACATTAAATAATTTTTTATAGATGTTAAACGATAATATAATAAATCATGGTACTATACTATAAACGATAATGTTGACATTACTCCATGTTTTGAAAATATAATTTTAACGCCTGTAAATTCATAAATTTACATTCCCATTCTAAAAGCAACTCGCATACTATCGAATTAAATACTGAACTAGCTTTAAATGCTCACCCCCAATAGAAGTATTTAAATGAATATATTTGAATTTAGATTATAGAGATGCTAAATCTGCCAATGTAGCATAATTAGCTTTAATCAAATAAGTAAAAGAACATAACTTTATAAAATTACCTTTTTTAATTGCATCTGATATTCTTTGTGTGTTGATAATTTTGCTAGAGAACATAACATCGGGATGTTTTGATGAGACAATTGGCAATTCTTTTACTATTTTATCTGCTTCCAAGAATTGCTTTATAATTTTTGCATCATCTGAATCATTTGCATCATCTGAACTTTGCATGCATTTATTCCATTCTTCAAATTTGTCCCAAACACTTTTAGCATCTGGCCGTTTTTTTGGATCAGCATCCATGCATTGCTTAGCAAATTCAATATAGCAATCCGGAGTTCCGGGAGCAAATTCAGGTTGCAATCCTTTGCAAATTTTCACCGCAAGTTGTATATGAGATGTAGGCCCATCAAAAGGTCTTTGTCCAGTTGATATTCCTGACATGATGACTCCAAAGCTATAAATGTCAGCAGCTTTTGTAAACTTTCGACCTAATAAAACCTCAGGAGCAATATAAGGCATAACTCCATAAATATCCTTATTTCCATCAATATCATTTTCGTTTTCCTTCATGGACAATCCTAGATCCGAGATGTAAGCATTATATAAATCATCTTGAAGTATATTTCCAAAATGTAAATCACAATGAACAATATCATGAGAATGGACCGATTGAAGGTCGAAAGCAATACAAGATAATAAATTTAGTTTCTATCCCAATTCATTTTCACAACATTGTGAAGATTTCGAGATAAAGATCCAATTCTCGCATACTGCATGACTATAAACTCATCTCCAGTTTCATCTTTTAATAAACCATGAAATTGTAAAATGTAGGGTTTTTAGATGCAATTCTATAAAAGTTATTTATCTTTATAGATTCAAGTAATAATTAGTAAAATTAAAAGGTTTGACATGCATCATTTGAAAATACTTACCTCGGAAGAGCTTTCTCTTTGTTTGTGAAGTAATTTAAGCGCAACTGGCTGTGTTAAACCATTGGATTTCCATCGAGCTAATTGAATATTTGCAAATCCTCCTTTCCCAATTTTTCCATAAATTTCTATTTCATTAAATGGAATCTGTGGCACTAGAAATTTGTTTTTATGTAAAAAATCATCTGTATAAAGTTTTGCTTCATGACTACATCTGTTAGCTTGTGCCTTGTGTAACCACTCAGTAGCTTTTTCGAAATCTTGAGATGTTCCGCTGCCATTCCGATAACAATAACCAACTTGACACATTCCGTTAGGATAACCCATATCGGCAGATTTTTGATAATAAAAGAACCCCTTTTGTTCATCCTTTTCCATTCCAATTCCATTTTGGTAACAATAGCCAACATTACATATTCCACAAGCATCGCCCATTTCGGCAGATTTTTTATAGTAAATAAATGCCCTATGTTCATCCTTTTCGACTCCAATTCCATAGCGATAACAATGACCAATACTACATGTCCCACTAGCATTGCCCATTTCTGCAAATTTTTGATAATAAAAGAACGCCTTTCGTTCATCCTTTTCAATATTTAAATTTTTGATACACAATTCTTGGAAATTTACATCTACGAGAATTGTATTCTGAAGATCTGCAAATGTGAGATCTGCGCCTTTAATAAGTGCGTTTTGAAGATTTGCATTTTGAAGCTTTGCATTTCTGAAATTCACATCTTGAAGAATCGTATTCTGAAGATCTGCAAATGAGAGATCTGCACCTTCAAAATGTGCATTTTGAAGCCTTGCATTTTGAAATTTACATTATTTAGCTTGGCTTTTTCTGCATGCAAATTATTAAATGTTACATTGCTCAAATCTGCCCCTGAAATAATAGTATAATTTAAATCATTCAACAATACATCAATCTCCCTTAGAATTGTAATAGCATTAGCAGAAGCAATTTGAATTCCATCATCATTTTTAGAAGCTTCAATAAAAGCTAATAGCTGTGGTTTGAAGGTTTCCATTTTTGAGTAACATGTTCAACTAAAAATTGTCGAACCCCATGCTCTGACGCAAATGATTGCTTGTTGAAAAGTGCTGTATTTGATGCAGATTCGAATGATTCCAGCAATGCTCAAGTAATCAAGTGGTCTCGCAAGGTTTTATGAATAAACCAATATTGATTTTCACGTCGGATTAATAGCATACTAAAGCGCAACAAGGAATTCTCAATATCTTCATTGCCTAAAAATTTTTTCCAATTTGTGTCACGTGTTATAACCACTTTATTGTCATCCACAAACATTTTAGCAGCGAACTCTTTACTAAATTGTAGACAAGATTCTGAAAATTCTGAAAATTCTTCATCATCTAATTTTCTAAATTTATTCCTTTCTTCAAAT